CAGGGTCCTGGGATCGAGCCCTGCATCGGGCTCCCTGCTCGGCGGGAAGCCTGCTTCTCCCTCTCCCACTCCCCCTGCTTGTGTTCCCTCTCTTGCTATGTCTCTCTCTGTCAAATGAATAAAATCTTTAAAAAAAAAAGTCATAAGCATAGTAGGAATTATTCAGTATGTTTTCTTATGTGATTGGCTTCTTTCGCTTAGTTTAATGTTTTCAAGGCTTATTGGTGCTGTAGCATGTAATAGTACTTCTTTTTTTAAATTGCTGAATAATATTCCATTGTATGAATATACCACACTTTGTTTTCCATTCATCTGTTATGGACATTTGGGTTGTTTACACTTCTAGGATATTATGTTGCTATGAATGGGTATAAGTTTTTATGTGGACATGTGAGTGTATACTTAGAAGTGTAATTGTTGGGTCATATCCTAACTGTGTTTAATGTTTTGTGGAACTGCCAAACTATACATAGGTGTTTCTTACCCTCCTCCACCAAAATGGATCTTGTCAAGGACACCAGTGACTTCCATGTTTCTAGATCTAGCAGTTGTCTTAATTTATCTATCAAGGGAAATATAATTTCATGAATCTTTGCCTCCTTTGAAAAATTTTAAAACATTTTATTAAAGAAGCAGTACTTATGCATTGTAGAAAATTTAAAAATACAACAAGCTAAAGTATTAAAAATTGAAGCTTCATATTCTCACCACACTATAAAATATTGATGCTGGGGCTTGGAGATACGTAATTACCTCTTTCATTAGGTTTATTTGCAGGTATCTTATGGTTTTCAGTGCAGTTATAAATGGGGTTGATTCCTTAATTTCTCTTTCTATTCCTTCATTATTGGTGTATAGAAATGTAGCACATTTCTGTATGTTGATTTTGTATTCTGTGACTTTATTGAATTTGTATATCAGTTCTAGCAGTTTTCTGGTGGAGTGTTTGGGGTTTTCTATATAGAGTATTAAGTTATCTGCAAATAGTGAAGGTTTGACTTCTTCCTTGACAATTTGGATGCCTTTTATTTCATTTTGTTGTCTGATTGCTGTGGCTAGGACTTCCACTACTATGTTAAATAACTGTGGTGAGAGTGGACATCCCTGTCTTGTTCCTGACCATAGAGGAGAAGCTCAGGTTTTCCCCATTGAGGAGGATATTAGCTGTGGGGTTTTTGTAAATGGCCTTTATTATGTTGAGGTATGTTCTCTCTAAACCTACTTTATTGAGGGCTTTTATCCTTTCTTTTATTAATGTGGTGTATCACATTGATTGATTTGTGAATATTGAACCACCCTTGCAAACCAGGAATAAATCACATTTTATCACAGAGAAAGATTCTTTGAATGTACTGTTGGATTCTGTTTGCTAGTATTTTATTGAGAATTTTTACATCCATGTTCATCAAGGATATTGGCCTATACTCTTTTTTTTTTTGTCATTTATTTATCTGGTTTTGGTTTCAGGATAATGCTGGCCTCATAAAATGAATTTGGACTTTTTCCTTTTTTATTTTTTGGAATAGTTTGAGAAGAATAGGTTATTAACTCTTTAAATGTTTGGTAGGGATCTCCTTTGAAGCCATCTGGCCTTGGACTTGTATTTGTTGGGAGATTTTTGATTATTGATTCAATTTCTTTCTGGTTATAGGTCTGTTCAAGTTTTCTGTTTCTTCCCATTTCAGTTTTGGTAGTTTATATGTTTCTAGGAATTTATCCATTTCTTCCAGGTTGTCCAATTTATTGGCATACAGTTTTTCATAATATGCTCTTAAAATTTTTTTGTATTTCTGTCATGTTGGTTGTTATGTCTCTTCTCTCACTTGTGGTTTTATTTATTTGGGTCCTTTCTTCTTTTTGATAAGTCTAGCTAGAGGTTTATCAACTTTTTTTTTAAAGAACCATTTCCTGGTTTCACTGATGTGTGCTATTTTTGTTTTTGTTTTTGTGGGGTTTTTTGTTTGTTTTTTCTATATCATTTATTTCTGCTCTATTATTTCCTTCTGGCTTTAGGCTTCATTTGTTGTTCTTTTTCTAGCTCCTTTAGGTTGGAGATACATAATTTAAGGCTGTTAGTAAATAGATAATTTGAAATCATAGGTCTGAATAACATCACTTAACACATCAAATAATATCACTTAAGGTGGTATAAACAGAGGGTAAAATTGTGGGCTCATGTCTGAGTACATTTAAAGGTTGGGAAAAGGACAATCATAAATTTTGAGGGTTGGAAGAAGTGAATATTAAGTGAATTGTATTTATAAATCCTTGAATAGTGTCTGACACAGTGTTCATTAAATAAAATATATTCAACTAAAATCACCCTGATACATTGCATTCACCTTCCATTTCATTTCATTTTCTTACCTGTTTTGTTTTAGTCTACATTCTCCTTTCATTTTTCTGCTTTATATTAAGGTTTTGTTGATCATGAAATGATTAAGCACTTACATTTCTTCTGACATTATATACCATTATGCTGAAATGTGGCTTGAATCCTTTACAGCAAAATCCCCAGTTTGTCTATGCTGATGGTCTCAAACTCTTACTTTCTCATTCTGAAATTCACTCAAATTAGTGTTTTCTCTTCACCACTCCACTGAAACTGTTTGTTTACAATGTTAAAAATTTGCTGAATCTAATGTCAGTTTTTACTTGTTATCATGTTTGCTATCATATTTGCTAAATCTAATGTCAGTTCTTAGTCTCTATTTTACTTGACCTGTCAGTAGCATTTGACAATTCTTAAAAGTCTATCAGTGAAATGTGTATTTCACTCTGCATCCAAAGGACCATATTCTTGTTTTACTACTTCCTTATTTAAGGCTGCTCCTGTCTCTTTGGCTGATTCCTCACCTTCTCCATGATTTCTTATATGGCTCAGTGCTTGTATGTCTTTATTTTACATCTATACTCATGTTGACCTCGTCTAGTTCCGTTTTTTTCTCTAAATTTTTTATTGTTATGTTAAACACCATTACATCATTAGTTTTTGATGTAGTGTTCCATGATTCATTGTTTGTGCATAACACCCAGTGCTCCACGCAGAACGTGCCCTCTTTAATACCCA